ATGAATGATGACATCGTCTTTCTGCATTGTTTTAGAACTGTAGTATGTCTGTAGATTTAGCAACAGTAGCGGAGGAAATGAACGAAGCCAGTAATTCCATATTGGCTACACTTATACTGAATTAACATTAACAGCTGCCTCGTTTGGGTCTGCACTTCTCTCTCTGCAGGGGAGGATGGTTGTTTACAACGCAGACAATTTCCGAGAAGCATCGAACTTACACACGTCATGGACAAATGTTAGCAACTGGGTAAAATTTAGAACCTCAACAGAGTCCATGCATCCAGGAAGTAATTTTCAATAGCCGAGAGCCCAGACCCTCTCTACAAAGTACATAACGTAGTGTTTTTACCAAGCCGTGACATAACTAATGTAAAAGTAAAATAACAGTTTGAATCAATGTGCATACATTGAAAGAGAAACATGCTTATTTCCAGTAAGACTGATAGTGATTGTGGTGTACCATTGGAGGTTAGCAGGGCAGCTGTTCTGTCTATCTGGAACAAATATTCCCAGGGTATTGCAATGACACAGAGACACATAATGATCAGTTTGGCCACGTCAGTCCATTAAAAGTCACTGTACGCTCACACAAACTCAAGGTTCCCAGACATTTTTGGTGATGTAGCCTCATGCCCTCACTGCCATGTGTTGGAGTATTGCAGAGGCAACCACATCAGGGTCTTCTGCCCCTCCCTGCTCACCCACAGCATCAACACAGTCAGAAAAACACGAGCAGCCCTACACCACTCTTACTCACCTTGGTGAGTCTTTCTTATAAATGTAATTGAAACAACACAGCAGGTACAACACACACAGACATTACTTTAATGAGTGTTTCCTGTGGGTATATACATGCAAACTCCATGCCGAGTCAACCTGACCATACACATATGGAACCATGCAAGGGTTTACACCAATTATGTTTCTTTAAGCTGAAAAATGTTACTGGTTGAGTTGGGTTGATGTGAAAGTGGTTTGGGTTGGTTACAAAATATTTGGGAAATCTAAAAAAAAAAACATTCCATGGGAAAGTAATTTAGAAAGAAAATAACATTCAACTGCTGAACTGTAAATTAGTATTTTTTTTTAATTTTAGATATATTCTACGGTTAATTTCAGTTCTGTTTTTGGGATGAATTAGAGAAGTTATATGACTAATCTGACTTTGGTGCTGGTCATTTTTTGCGCTCACCATGTTTTACTTTGGAGCTTTGTTTGTGATCCTTAATATTTTTGGGACGAAATTAAGTCATGGCTCATTTCATATATTTAAAAATCTATACAATATAAACTTCCATTATTTGTTAGATGAGTATGTTTTATTTATAGATTTACATTTCTGTTCTAATAGCACTCTTTTTAAATGCTCACAAAAATCTCACACTCTGAGCCTCCAATGTTTTCTTTGGACTAATGGTGACCTCTTCAACCATGTTGAATTACTGCAGAGGTTATACCCCTTAGAGGGGTCATACACTCTTTTTGGTATTCTTTCTGTCTGCAATTTAAGTAGTAAATTAGACCATTCAATGGCAGTCTACAGCAATTAGGTACTTTCTTTAGAGTGATGTTGTTCTCGCATAGAACACTTAACATTTTTACTTTTTAAAACACCCCGTATGGGTAATTACACATGATATTAACTTCTTATGACTAGATAATTATAGAAACAGAGGATTGAACCTGCTATATTAAGAGTGAGTGGGTGAAGATTAGCTCTGAAGTATGAATGTAATAAAATATTACGCTGACAGGTGTTGACAACGTCTTAAATATCAAAGTTTAAATGCAAAAAGCAACATATTTGCAACAGTAAATATTTTTCTTTTCTGAGAGAGGTGAAATAATATTGATCAAAAAATGAATACTTTTTCAATTGTTGTAACATAACAAACCTGACTCAGTTATACCAGTTCTTTCAGGATGAATGGGCCAGAACTCTTACTAGCTACTGTGAGAAGCTTGTGGAGGGAAACCCAAGCCATTTGGCACAAGTCACCCAGTTAAAAAGGCAAAAAGGTTCAAAATTCTAACTGACCTAAAACAAGAGAATTTTGTTTTGATTTAACTGCGGACAGTGAAAAAATAAGGTTTATGGGTCTTTTTATTTGATTTATGTAAACTTCTGGGTTCAACAGCAGCTGGTAGGTCTCTGGGAATAAAGCCAGGCCACAGCAATGAGAGTAAAATGTCAGGTTTGTGAAATGTGGAGTAACTGCTGATTCAATGGAAATATTGAGCACGTTTTCCACGCCTAATCCCAGAGATTGGACTTCTAATTTCCTCTATAAATCTTTCAGCTTAAAAAAGTATGCCCACATCATGTCTATTTTACTATGTTGCTTGGGATAATATTGTATTTATACTGTAATGAAATCTAACTGACATCCTTGACTTTTCTTCCTGAAACCAGTGTATATAAGAGATTGTCAGCTCTATACGTAAGTGATATGCAATATACGTTTAATGCAAAATAAATGTATGAGAAAAATACTTAGTCATTACTTGAGTCTAAACATGTTATTTTATTTGTACTAAATTTAAATTGGGGTGATTTTGTTTACCCCAAACAAAATCACTCCAATTACCCTAATGGGGTTGATCTATACAACTGGATATGAATTGTGTATTTGTTTTGTAAAACTGAAAATCAAAATGTCACTCTTGTGAAATAGATGAATGTATTTTTTTTAATTTTTTACCAAAACAAGCATTTTCATTTTCCAAATGATGCCTAATTCTGTTAATCTTGGGTAACCGTGTTTTATATTGCCAAGAATAAAAACATTTAACAAACTATATTTAACAATATTCTCAAATCAATAAAAACATATTAGAACACATTAAAATACTTCTCACAAGTTCTAAAACAAATGTTAAGTCTTAGAACACTTGCGTGACACAGGTAGTAAGTACGTAAGGTTATGTGGGGAAAGACTTTAAAGTGATTCCCTTCCAGATTGTAATCATCTGGATACAATTGAGTTAATACAGTTGACTCCTGTCTCAGATTAAGGGTATGCTAAATACCCCAATGATAAGCCTACATTTTGAAGCTTTTTCTCCTTGGTCAATTCCTCTCTGGTTCCTTTGTATCAAGTCCCTGTAACCTCACAAGAAGGTTGTGATTGCAGAAGTATGGTTGATTCCATTGCTAATGACGCAATCTGATTTAACCTCTGACCTCACTTTGTGACTGGCTAAAGAATATTGACTCAGAACAGACAGGCAAAATAACTTCCCTTAACTTGGGTCTTACATTCCTGTCACCAGATTAAAACAAAAAACTGACAGGAGATTTACAAATCCACTGTGATGAAACACTTTGTATTGGGTTCAGTTTTACTAGTCACAACCAGGCCTCTTTACTTTCAGACTTGTGGGATCAAGAAACCTCTCAAAAAGAACCTAAGATATCTTGAAATGCAACATCTTATGTCTCAAAATAAATTTTTGACCAGCAGAGGAGAAAAGTAATGAACATCATGAAAGTATTGCAGCCTTTTCTAAGGGTTTGATACTTTATTTACAGTTAGAGAGCTATTCTCCACAAAAGAAGAGAACAATTGTAGACCTTCCTTAGTAAAATTGCCCAAAGAGTGCTTCTATTACTCATTCAGGAGTCTACAAAGAAACGTAGAACATCTAGCACAGTATTTCTCAAACTTTTTTCAGGCTGACTACCACTTAATCCATTTAACAAACACTCACGGACCACCTAACTTGACATTGCCCCACAATAACACAACATGTCAATATATATTAATAATTTTAGTCTCTTAACGAGCTTATTGTTGTTCTTTTTGTTCATTTATGCTGTTTTGCAAATGTGACTGGCCACGGCAAAACCATGAACACGTCTACTCAAGGCATTTTGAGTTATCTACATATTCTGAAAGTAGATTCAAATCTTCCCAATGAGGTCAAACACATGGGAATAAAAAAATAAGTGTTTAATTACTACCAAGTGTTGTGTGCATTAATGACATTTAGGGCTATTTGTAATTTTGAAACACAATAAAAGAAAAATAGACTTCAGTTGCTTTCCATAAACATTCTCTTCTGCATCACTCTCAGCAGGTATGACTTGGCTTCCTCTGTTATAAGTAGTCCTGTCGTTGTTTTCATTCCAATGGTATATTCAGTCTTTCTTTAGTGACACTGTTTTAAGCCATTTAGCCATTGTTAATTTTAAGCAGAATTATTTGGTAAACTAATTGTATTAGTCACACTTTGAGATCACTTAACGGCAAATAAACGGTTGTTTACATGCAATACTTTACGGACCATTAGGGGGCGCCCGCGGATCACCAGTGGTCTGAATACCACAGATTGAGAAAGACTGATCTAGCACTACAGGCCTAATTGGTTCATCTAAGTTCAATGCTCATGCTTCAACAATGTGACATGGACAGGGAAAAATTGCCTCCTTCCAAGGTTGAACCCAATGCTGACAATGACAGTCTCACATTTGCTCAAACATATCTTGATGATCCTCTAGACATCAAGGCATATGACACTATATATATAACATCTGTAAGATATTCTTTGCACTGACAAGAAAACATCTAAATGCTTATGTAACAGAGAGAAGAGCTCGTGTGTCTGTGTGAGTTTTGATCGAAATGATTATAGTGATGGTTGTATGTATTTTTGATTTTGTTTGGAGCCACCTAGTGGTGTGATGAGTGACTGCATGCAACGGGTCCGTCAGGCACTCTCGCGGCTTCCTCCACCAGAATTCTGAGGAGCGCTGGTGGAGGTAGGTGCGAGAGAGGCAGCTCTTCACTTCTTTTTTTACTTAGGGTCATATTTTTCTAGTTCAACTATTAACAAGGTACTGTAAGAATATTTAACATTTATAAATATAATTTGTAAAGTTTTCTTGTGGTTGGGCTGGAAAAATGTGACCCTATGAGTGGGAGCTGCGCCGGTTGGTGTTCGTGGCTGACCACTCAGTCACGGCGCTAACTGTGTCTTTTATTTTTCAGCCTGTCGGACCACTTGGCTGCAGTCAATCACATTGTGAGGAGTTTTTCATCTTTTGTTGTGCTAGGTGACCAACAACATAATAAGAAGAGTTACACTTAGCTGGTTCTAAGCATTTTGAATTAGCTAAGCATCAGCAACAGTAAAACAGAACAGAACTGCAATTATTTCTGCTCTCCACCAGAAACACCTGAAGGGAAACGTTCTATTGACCCGATGCTCAAGCAGGACTATGATCCAAAATTCCACTTCCAAACAGCTCAAAACAAAGAAACAAAAATGTTTTGGAGTGGTCTAGTAAAATTCAGCGTTCAGTCACAATGAGATCCTTTTGTTAAGACCTTAAACAGACCGTTGATGCTTGAAAATCTTCTATTGTTGCTGAATTAAAACATTTCTCCAAAGAACATTTATACACACCAATTAAAATACTCATTGTCACTTGGTGGCAATTGTTGCCACCAAGAGTTGCTCAACAAATCATTAGGTTGAGGGGGAAAATAACTTTATTTCTCTTATTGGTATGGATAGCTTTTATCTTGTAACAAAGTAAGTAATTATTTGAAAAAAGGCACAATAATCCTCTTAAGGGTTCAGAATGACTTGTGAATTCTTTCAACTACTTGTTTGAATTTATTTTTCAAATAATTCAAAACTGACATGTACTCATTGTTTTGAACTGAGAATCAGTTGATGTTCATAATGGCAAGGAAAAACAAACATAATAAATTAAAAGGACAAAAACAGAAATATCCCTACTACTCAGTAGCACTAAGAAATCAAATGCTGCCGATTCCTTCTGAACTCTTGGTAACTCAGGCTGGTGCTGATTAACAGTATCCTGAATGGTGTGTAGGAGTGTGGTTGAGTGTTTTATGGGCTTAGTGTAGGAAGAATGACAAGACGACTGCTTTGATCTCACCATCACTTCCCATGAGCAGATACAGCTGGACACTGTGTGTATGTGTATTTGTCTGTTGTATGGTATGAATGGACTTATTACTGATGGAGAAGTACTACTCTAGTAATAAGTGGAATAGATTCCGTCAAACTTAGCTCTAAGTTAATTATGAAATCTACAAAGATCAACTGGAAACCTGTCATTCAGCACTAAAACATGGAAAGGAAACATTCTTTGCGGAAATCATTAACAAAAACGTAAACAATACTCGTGCTCCGTTTGCCACAGTTGACAGATTGACAAACCCTTCTGTGGCTGCAGCATCTCAACTCCATCCTAGCAAGACCTGCAGTGAATTTGCCTACTTCTTTACAGAGAAAATAAAAAAATAAAAAAAAAATCTCCACATCATCATTCCCAGTGTCAGTGCTAAGGCCAAACACAATAAATGTAGATAAAACAGAGCTTTGGAACGTGACGTCACTGCCGTAGATGGAGGGATATCAGTGCCATCTTTGGTGTCCATAAACATAACCGACAAAAACTTTTTTTTTTTAATCCAAGTTACTTAAAATAATTTAGCTATGGTACGAATTTTCTGCATTATCGGGTGTAATGTCCGATCACATGACCGAAAAGGTAAAAAGATGGAAAATGGACTTTCGTTTCACTATTTTCCTGCTTGGAAACAACGCGTGGAGGCTAAGCTAACGGAGCTAACGAAAAGAAGACGAATGTCCTGCTATCAGCGGTGAGACGTCCTGATGTTACCTTCTCCAACATCCCCAGATACCTACAAGTTTGCTCCAGACATTTCTATTCTGGTGAGTGTCTAAATTCGCTTTGTTAGTGTTGTGTCATAATTTTTTGCTATGATTTTGTCCGGTTGTACTCATGCTCCGTTTATGTTGAGTTCATTGAAGTGGGTCAACCTTGTTTAGGCCGGGCTAATATTGTTTAGGAAGCGTAGTCCAAGTTTTCTTAGTGGACATTGAGGTTATTCCATTATTATGAATAACCTATCATTTAAGTTTGCTAGTGTTATCAAATTTACAACATTAATACTGATGTGTGTTCTGATATGTCCTCTTGAAGGCAAACCGATGTGTGAAATGGATTAGCTCAATCCAGACTGGGTTCCATCGCTGAAAATGGGTCACTGAGGTAAACACTACATCGTTCCGACATGCGCGTCAATTAAAGAGGCGATACAGCAAGATCATCAACAAGTTACTGAGACTGTTTTCATTATTTACCTCTTCTGGGGTAAATAATGAAAACACAGTAGCAGAGGCAATAGAAGAGGAGCAAGTTGGAGAGGCGGAGGAGGAAGAAACCCCAGGAGAGGAGCTGAGCAAGGCTGCAGACTCTGAAGAAGAACAGGAACCATTTGTGTTGAAATACAGTTGGAAGTGGCTGTTTTCTCTCATTTAATAATTTAATGTATTAAACATTCATGAAACATTAGATTCAAGCACTTCAAGTTTCATGTAAACAGGTGAAGAAATGAATCACATTTTAAGTAAAAAATTTATATTTAAAATATTTCAGGTAATAAACATACACATAATGGAAGATTATATTTTTAAATTAATATTTTATGTGATTAAAGTAAACAATTATATAATCAGACATCTGCTTGTTACACTTGATGTAACAAGCAAACTGTCAGGACACTGGGTTTTTGGATTTGTTTTGCTTTATTTTGTTCATTAAAATAACATCCACATAAAGTATGTCTACTGCCTGCTGTGTTTGGGTCCACCGCTACACCACATCATGACACAAACCAGACGAAAGAGCCCATCTTTAAACATTTAATGTGTAATTAAACAATAAAGGTGACAAGTGAACATGTAATGAAATAGATCCTGTTCCAGAATTTTATGTAATTGAACATTACAGGTAACAAATGTGATGATCGCCTGAGGTAATACATTTTGTGAAAAAAATTTTTAAATATAATTTTGGTTAACAAATAAAAAAGGGGTCAAAATGGAATAAAAATATGCCTTATCTATATAGTTTAGTAGAATAATTTCACACGGATTTTGAGTCAACGGGTCACATGACCTGGAAGCTATTGAAGAAAAACCCTACATTTTGACAAAAAAAAATTGTTAAAAAAAAAGAAAATGACTTAAATGGAAAACAAATGACTGTGCCTCACCTATATAGACTAGTAGAAAGATTACAAAGTGAGAAAATAAGTCAGATGACTTGGAAGCTATTGAGGAAAACATTATTTATTAAAATTATTCAAAATATATGACTTTAAAATCTAATAGAGAATATTGTGTCTCAGGTAAAAGCCCAAATTAGCACTTACAATTTAGTCAACTGGTCACAATTCAAGGCATTTCTTAATATTTGTTTGACAGGAGTGTTTGGTTCGGTAATTTGTTGACAGTCCCTAAGTGAACCTATGAGCGCTTTTGCTGGGAGCGGTGGAGAACCGCTGGCCGACATTAGCGTTCATAAATCGGTTCAACCTTGAGCTAAATGCCGCTTACTCTGCGGAGCTCGAATATCCAACTTGAAACTAACTTCACTGTGGTGCCCTTGAGGAGGGAGCGGTGGAGAACAGCTGGACGAAATTAGCGTTCATAAATCGGATCAACCTTTAGCTAAACGCCCCTTACTCCGCGGAGAGCGAATATCCAATATCCAACTTAAAAACAACTTCACTGCGGTCGGTAACGCAAAGAAAACACCGGTGTTCTGACTAGTTTGTTTTGGTCTGTGGACACCAAAGATGGCGCCGAGTGACGTAAACGTCATACGCTGTGACGTCAGCTCCAAAGCACTATTGCTGAATTTTACCAACTCGGCCATGAATTTTAAATCAAGGCTCCTCCTTCTCTTGATAGCCTACCACAACTTTCCTTAAGAAAATTCTGCGTGTCATCGTATCTGATCTGATTCAAATAGTAAACACTTCCTTTCTATCAGGATTCTATTATCCCTTCTGCAAAAGTCAGACAGTTGCTCCACAATGCTGCTACTTCCATTCTCACCAAAACTAAGAATATACAGTACATCATCCCTGTTTGAAAGTCCTTATGCTAACACCCTGTATCTCAGAGAATAGACGTTAAAATAGTTTTGTTAGCTTATAAATTATTCTATGGGATAACACCAAAATAAATCAAAGACCAGTTGTAAGGCAAATAACTTGTAACGTATCAGAAGACTTAAAAAGAGTAAAGAAATTAAACATTCCCAAGATTGAGAATGGCTATAGTGATTAGGCAAGCAACTGATTAATCAAAGAGGAATGGAGTGATAGGAAGACCAGGACTGGGGCTAAGCTAGAGAAAAAACCACAGCGAAACCCTCTGTGGCCAGCACATCCATCATCGTCATGTTTCTGCAGTGGGAAAAAAACTGTTGACCTCACCAACAGATGTGCAGTGTGCAAGATTGGATGGGAATGCAAAGAAGAGTGGGAGCATTAAAACTGCATGGATATTCCCATCAATGTGTTGATCAATTTGGTGGCATAAATCTACATGTTTATCCCTAAGCAGTTTGCAATCTTGTTGACATTCTTGGTTAAGATGCAGAGAAAAGCCAGAATCACATGTGGAGTAAATGGAGTCTCATAAACATATTAATTGCCTCTTTACATTATATTTTATTTTGGTGTTTCAGGATGAAGTTGGTTGAAAATTTATTTGTAGATTCTATAAAAGCCCCAAACAGAACAGAAAAGTCACAACATGTTAGTATTTGTAACTGGGTAGACAATGATTAAATATCACTTTCACTCCATCTTTTTGGTTATTTTCTTAATTTTTGTCTCAAAATGTTTTTCTCACATTCAACCACTGTGTTTCAGCTCTGAGCTGGAAATTCCCCCAGAGTGCACCAGTAGCACCAGAAGCTGAAGCCGCACTGCTTGGGTCACACTGGTGAAGGGAAGGCACGCCACTGGCAGCTGGCCTACCACATTAGAGAGTTATGCTGTATGTATGTGTGTATTTGCATGTGTGAGTATTCCCATATGTGTGTGTTAGCCCATGCATATGTGTATAATAATAAGAGCCCTGCTGTCTGTCGACCACAAAGCAGCAGCTGCTCGGGCCGGCAGATTAGAGGCTTGCTCTGCACTGGATGCCCTTACTGAGCGGTTAGCAGGATGGATGGGATGAATGAAGGAGTAAACGGATGGATGAATAGTAGTAGGAGTCTTG